CAATCATTTCAATTAAGCTCCACCATTGCTTGCTTATTGAGGGAATTACAATGATTTGAATAAGGAGATAAGATACAACAACAAAAACAATAATCCTTTATCCCACTAAGTGGGGTCGACTACATGAATCTTTTTTCTCCATTGCGTCCTATTGAGTGTCATATTTTCATTTGATTCTAATAAATTAAAACATTTTTTATACAATATGCCAAGGTCTTTCTAGATTTAACGCTGCCTTTCTTAACATAATTTGATTCTAAGACTTCTATTCGCATAATCAGATCATCAGATGGTTGATGTTTAATGTGATCAAACAATCAAGACGATTCTCTCTAATTTTGTCCGCCACTGAAGCTACACCAACCCTATCATAGATATATTCATTTTGCATTTTGTTTTTATGTGTAAAGCCACCCATCCATGCATTCTCATCTCGACAACACTTAACTGAATTTTGTGCTTCTCTTTTAAAGGTCAGCATTCTGCGCCATAAAGCATTGCAGGTCTCACAACCATCTTATAAAATTTACCTTTCATTCTAAGCGGTACTTTTCTTTCACACAATAGACCGAACATTCTTACACTTCAAACAACCAATTTGATTTTTACTAATAACATCCCCATTTATAACATCATCACTTTGAACAGTAGACTCGAGATACCTAAAGCGTTCACACATTTTAATGATTTGATCACTCATAGCTATAACTCTGCCACTAGAGCTACTGCTAAAATTACATTATACGTATTCAATTTTAGTTCTACTTAAACAATAGTCTTCATACTCCAATGTAAACCTCCATAACTCGAGTTTTCTCCTGAACTCTTTCTCTTGTCCAAGAAGGATATCGTTAGCGAAAAACATTCCCCAAGGTACATCCTTCTGTAAATGTTCAACTAGAGCATCCATAACTAAAACAAAAAGTTGTGGACTTAAAGTCGATCTCTGATGTAATCCAACTGAAATAGGAAAACATTTCATCAATCTTTCTGCTATTTGAATTCAAGTTACAACTCTAATATACATATGTTTAATGACTTGTATATAAATCATATCAACACCTTTCTTCTTAATAACTCTCCAAAGGATTTCTCTTGGAAGCTTATCTTAAACTTTTTCTAAATCAATAAAAATCATATGTAAATTCTCCTTATTCTCTTTGTACTTCTCCATCAAATCTCTCATGTATAGCTTCCATAGTAGACCTGCCCGACATAAATCCAAATTGATTATAAGTAATCTTTGTAATACGTCTTAACCTATGTTCAATAATTCTCTTCCATAATTTTAAAGTATGACACATCAACTTAATTCCTCTATAATTTGCACACTCTTGGGCATCCTCTTAATTCTGAAAAATTGGGACTAAAATATTTTTCCTTCGCCCCGCAAACGTCTTTTAGTTTTTAAAATAATATGAAAGAGATTAGTAAGCCAAGAAACTCGCAGATCTTCTAAATATTTCCACACTTCATATGGGATATCAGCAACTCCTACAGATTTTTCACCCTTGATTTTCTTTAAAAACTTCTCAACTATGTTTTACTAATGCAACGATAAAAATGAAACATTTTATTATCATTAACGACATTAAGATCACTGAGGTTAACCATTTTTTCAGAAACATCATTGAAAAATTTATCAAAATAATCCACCCATCTATGTTGAATCTCTTTCTAAGAAAAACACTTTTTGATTTTCATCTTTAATACACTTTGGCTTGAGTTAAATATTTATTGTTCCTTTCTCTTTGTTTGGCTCATTTATACATATTTTTCATTCTCTTTTGTATCTAATTCCTTATAAAGTTCATTAAAAGCAGAACTTTTATCGTTACAAATTGTTCTCTAGACTCCCTAGAGTCATTTGATATTTTTTTCAGTTCTCTAAGTTTTTAATTTTAAATTAATTTTTATAACACTACTTATATTTTCTATTTTTTTGGACATTAATATTTCACCACCAACTATTTTAATTTATAAACATTTTTCCTTTTGATTCTCCGAGTGTATCTTTGCCATTTGTTTAATAGTATTTTTTATTTTATCCCACATAGAATTTGTTTCTTCGTGAGCTTCCGAAATCTTAAAATTTTAAATTTTACTTATAAAAATAATTTTATTTGTGTCTTTTAGGTGTCCCAATTTAATTCTAGAACAACCATTCCTAGTATTCTTTATTTTACAACTCTTTATCTTAAAATTCAGAGATAATAATCGTTGTTGAGTAATTTAATTCTCACTTGGAAATGACCTTCTAATCTATACATTCTTGACGATCTCTTCTTCTCATAAAAAAATAATCAATTTGTGAATCAATTTGTATAATCAATTTGTGTTTTATTAGATCTATTATTATAAGTAATAATATGCTCATCTATTTTCTTGAATAAAGTATTAACAAGAACAAAATTATATGCTAAAGCATAATCTACTATGACTACCTTCTTCATTAATCGCTCCAAAATTGTAGTCATCATGAATATTTTTAAATTTTTCTACCACTTTACCAACATGTCCTTTTAAGTCACTTTCAATTAAAATTCATTCTTCAAGAGGTATAATCTGTATTAATTCTTCTAAGTCATTCCACAATTTTTCTTTAGAACCTATATCTAAACCTATTTGAAGAGCATAAACACTTATAATATTAAAAATCTTAGTATCAACAACAATCGTAAGAGCTATAATTCTATCACTAATTCTATTAATTTTTACAACATTATCTTTCTAACTCTTATCTATAATTACTAATTTTTACAACATTATCTTTCTAACTCTTATCTATAATTACTCTAACACCATTTCTGGTGCAATTCCTACCTGAATACCAAAGTTCACAACTTACGCTATCAATCTCCTTAACCTTTTCTCTAACCCGTTTAGTCTCTTGAATATTTAAGATATTTATCTTTCTTTGAACCAGAATTTCATCTAATTCCATTAATTTACCTGTGAAGGTACTTATATTCTAAGATCCTATCCTAATTAAGAAGATAGGATAATATAATTAATTTATGTTCAATTGATTTTTAAAATTGATTTTATAAAATCAAATCTACTATATATATAAAAAATAATCTACTATATGATTAGGATTTTTGGGAGATGCTAAAAATGTGGTATAATTTAAAAGCAAAATTTTTTGTTATCTTTCTGGTTAAAATAGTTATTACTCATTGGGCCTATATTATTTCTAGTTCTTCAGAACTTCATTGGATTTGTTAAAATTGCTGAAATGGCATATGATGACCTCTGTTTTGAGGATATCAAATCAGGATTCTCTTGAACCTCTGTTTCCAGCGATGTTAATTGCTTCCTGCAAATTGGACAACGATGAAGCATTGGTATATATGAGGATCTAACTACTAGAGTTGTTCATGTTACCTTACTTATTTTTCCGATCTTGGAGGCTGCTGTAAATTAAAAATGAAGTAGAATTGTTTCTTGTGTGGACCTCTCCCTAACAATCAAATTTTAAACATTTATTTTGTTTTTTCAGCAATCCTACTAGTGCATATTCATTGACAATAAATTTGGTAAAATCAAAGTTGTAAATTTAAGGAATGGCTCAATGCGTTTGATTAATTTTTGTTATTGTTTTTGTTGTTATGATAAAAAAAAATTTGAAGGTAAACATATATTCTTATGGTCACTGATATCTGTGAAATTTCAAGCGGGCTAGAGAAGGGATTCACCATCCATTGTTGTTTGAGTTGACTAAAATTTTCACTTGTTCTCTCTTACCTTTTACTATGTTGACTTGCTTGAAGATCTATCTAAACCTGACCTTCCATCCAACTTGATTGCATCTGGCAGTCATATGATTTTTTCTTTAGGACTCCTAAACATGGCTACATTAGAGTGATGGAGTGCTTGATTACAACATGAAATATGGTGCATTTATTAGCGATAGGGAAAATTTATGAGGTCAGACTTTTGTATTGTACATTTTTGGCCAAATCTTCCGTATGCAACTTGTTGTCTGTGGGAAGTTAATATGATTGTTGCAAAGATCATACTTTGATTCCTCAAGTTTCTAAATTTCATGTTAAATAATATCTTAGTTCGTTCTAAACTTAAGTATAGAAACCTTACCATTCACGCTCTAATTCTATTGTAAGCTTTCTTTTTTAATTTGATGTCATTTAGTTCTAGTGCTTCTATTTGTTAGAGTGGTGTGGTGTCTCCTGGGTTTGGTGAGGTTGGTTAGGCCTTTAGGGATTGGTGGGGCAGAGTTGGGGTTGTCTTGTCTTTCTTTGGTTGGGTTGTCTTTATCTTAGGGGAAATTAGAAGTAGCCTGTTATTTGAGCTGTTGTTATCAAACAGGTTGTCATGTCAGCAGTTCACGAAATGTGAGAAACATAGTTTAGTTTTGACTGTTATGTTTGAAATACATCACAGCATTTTGGGTTCATATAAAAAACCAGCTGCCCTGTACATGACCTCCTCATTTCAGTTGCCAATTAATGTGGAATGATTATGAAAGAAAATGTTAAAGCGAAGTAATATGACTAGAAGTTGTACAAAGGCTTCATGGAAAATGTTTTTATTCTATGTCACATTAATAATATGAGTGAAGAATGTGTATTCATAAGCTGACCCCAACTTGGTCGCTATCTTAACAGTATGAAGACTTGGGATTCTTAAAGTTGAACCTAACTAGCTGGGATAAGAATAATGATCATGGTGATATGATTTCTCTCGTTAGCAAGAAAGTTTTTTTTTTTTAGTATATATTGATTGGCTCAATCATTACTTAATGAATTTTTTTGCTGCATATTCACCTCGGTTTTTTGCTATTTGAGATACTTTTTACTACCATTAGGAAGTTATGTTGCTTGACTTATCTTTTTAATATATGGCTTCAGTTCTTTTATTTTATTTATTCTGGTTTATGGATGCATACAAACAACACAAATCCATTTCTTTCTTTTTTTTGTTTTCTGTATATGATTTAATATGAAGTTTCATATGATAACAATGTTTGACATATGCAGATACGGTTCGAGATTTAGCTGTTCTTCCAGATTTGGGGATCCTTTCTGCATCACATGATTCGTGAGTTTCGGGAAGATTTCTGCATTTTTTCTTGTGGTGGCTAATTAATGGGTTTTACTTATTACTGCACGTTAGGTCTTCATACTTTTGTATATTTAAATGATTAGTTTGTTATAGTTTTCATTTATATTTTCATCAAGGTTATTCTTGAGCGATTGGCTATTAAGGTGTTTTTCATTTGTGTGGTGAGGCATAAGCCTCAAATTTAAAAATTGTGTAAACCAAGAAAATATTGTGTAAACTATAAAATATTGTATAAAATAACTTTAATATTCTAACTTATTAACAAAATTAAAAGTAATATAATTAATATTCTGTTTGAGTAAAAAGTAATAAATTGCGTAAGTTTGAAGTAGCACATTAATTTTCTAATATCAAATTATAAAATAAAATGGGCTATACAAATATTAAATTTTTGAAGTATACTAAGATAGTAAAATAAAATGCTTAAATATCAAAATATAATAATCAAAATGTTCAACAAAAGTCGCTATCATACTCATACTACCCCTAATTAAACAAGAATATAATAAATCATTAACATTTGAATTTTTAAATTTCAATGCTATTATTATTCTCATTACCCAATTGATTTTCATTAGTACAATCAATATAATAAACTGTTTCCTCACACTTTATCTTTAGTCATATCTTTATTCTCCTATTTCTCATTATCTTTTATCCCACTTATCTTTTACTTTTTAGTGAATAATCATAAAACATACTATTAATTAAAATAATTTCCATGTTGATAGTTAGAATTTCAAATACATAAATTTTTATAGATATTTTTTCCTTTTATTTCTTGTCATTTAGTTTTTAAGATGTGAGGGTTAATAGGTGAAGTATATTGATTATACTTTTGTTTTTGTTAAAATAAATTTGCGAATAGTCTAAAAGAATTGAGGCGTTTTTTGAGGCATGCAAGCCTCAATTTGGGTGAGGCGTACCTTAGGGCAATGATACCGAAGTTCACCAAAATCTGATTGAGAAAATATAATTTTATTTTTGAACAATAAAGGATTACAGTCAAGACAACAAACCTGCGCAAAAAAATACAACAAAACACTAAGGGTGAGCGACCTAGCAGACAACCGGAGAGGGGAAGTGGCTGGTAGAGAAGCAAGGGATGCAATTGCGGGACAACAGATGGGGCAGTAGTGGAGCAACAGATAAGGAACCTAGGGTTCTGCGTGGAAGGGGTGCAATCTGAAGGCTGGCGATTAGGGGAGGGGAAACACAACGAGGGATTGGGGAGATAACCGACCCTCTATTGGGCATGAACTGCCACCCTTTCCCAACTCCTATTCAACTTATTATAAATATATTGCTTGTTGAGGTATGGTTTAATTTTTTTGGAGCACCAACTATGCTCAAAGCAAGATATTTTTGGAGCACCAACTATCCTCGGATACCGCTCTAGGAAGGGAAAACCTCTGGAGGGATATTTTTGGAGCACCAACTATCCTCGGATACCGCCCTAGGAAGGGAAAACCTCTGGAGGCAGAAATCAGAAATCAATAAAAAAAATTAAACCCTAACTCAAGATATTTTTGGAGATAACCGCCACCTGGAAGAGATATTTTTGGAGCACCAACTATCCTCGAAGTAATAAACAAGGATTGACTGAGCTGCATCATTTGATAATCATATATTCAATTAATATCATCTGATCTTGCTCTATTTATGTTGAAAAATATAGCTTTGTATGTGTGTGTGCGTGCGTGTGTGTATAAGGAATGGGATTTTCTTTTCATAGGTTGAGAATGAACATTCTCCATATAATTCTATTTTTCTATGGCCCCCTTCATGGTCATTCCTAGAGGCCATGACCAACTTTTCTCTTTTTTGGCTAACATCATCTTCTTCTCTATTTTCTTGTTTGTAGCGTTATTGATTAAAAATACTATTAGAGTATGAGGGAAAAAAATATAAAAAAAGTGCCCCTGATATAGACGCTTGAACAGGAGTGGATGTTGTTGTACAACCATTAGGTAGACATTCACTTTGTTGTTTTTTGGTTGTAATTCTTTGATGTGAATCTCATCTAAGATTAAAAAATGTGGGTTGATCGTGAAATTAACCAGGCAAAAAAATTAATGCTGCTATTAATTGGCCTCAATCCAACAAGACTTGAGATGAGGTTGGATAGCCTGCATGCATGATATCTCTAGTATCATAATATTGCTCTATCATTTTTTGGAGTGTATTAGATTTTGAAGTTGTCAGGCCTCTGTACTAAATGCATTAATGATGAGCATCATTTCACTAATATTTTGCTCATTGCTATTATAGAATGGTTAAAATATGCTCTCAATTCAATTAGTTGTCTCTTGTTTTAATCAAGAATAAAATCAACTATAAAAAAAAATTAATATTAAATTTATTTAACCATGAATCATACTTATACAATTTTTTTTATAGGTATGGTGTGATAGTAGGTTTTTGGAACATTAAGATTAAAGTAGATACAATGACACCCAAAATTTGTACAAGTAAAAAACTCTTACACGGTATTCATTGTTAAGTGCAATTTTGGGTTTTACAATGTAGGCTAATCTCTGATTGCAAAGTTCTCCATTCAATTGATGGTATTCAAGTTAGTCAATATCTATCTTACATCTACCCTCCCTCTGTTTGAAATTTAGATCCATTGGCTCTACTTCAGTCTATGGCTGTTCTCCAAATTGCTTAATAACACGATCTAGAAGATGTCACTTTACACGCTTCGAAGAATTAATAACTCGTGATCTTCAAGCTCTGAAATTTGAGATGTAAATGGGTGTTAGAAGAAGAAACAAATCCTCTGAATAAAGGATCCAAATTATCTAAGTAGTTGTTTGTTCATATGATTATTTTATCTGACTATTCCTCAATACATCTAATTCATTACAATATAAATTTACATTATTTATATAAATTTGTCTCACCCAATGCTCTTTCCACTTATATTTATTTGAATTTTTATAGATACAATCTATACTATAATAAATCATACATTTATAATATCAAATTATACCTAAATACAAGTGGTTTATTTGAGATGTCATTATGGTAGGGTACATGCAAGGTCGGTCGACCCACATGTAGTTGCTTCCACTCTCAAATTTGCATGAGGTGAAAACATTCAACCATATTTATCCTGCTAGCTATTATAGCTTTTTTGAGCTCCCTATGCATATGTCCGGTATGGCATCACCTAATGAATAGGTGAAAATTCCTGCAAATTTTTTTGACAAAAGTTGATACTGTAAATATATTTTAGAATTGGATGTATCAAGTATTTAAAATATTCAATAATATATGGACTAACACATTGAATTAATTGTGCAACAGCCAGTTCATATGAGTCCTTATAGAAAGTTCAATGTAGCTAACATAATAGAATATATATGTTTTTTGCACGGGCCTAGCCCTTAATAAAAATTGAAATAATATTAGGATTATTAGGATGATTATATATAAATTTAGAGATTGGGCGTGAATCAAATATTTCATCACAACAATCAGGTCATATGAGCCATCGTAAGCGAGCTTAAACAATGCTACGCTCAACTTGAGCTTGTACATCTACCTGCGAGCTTAAGTTAGTACATGTATCTTGCAAAATGATTATCATCTTCTTGACCAATAAGCGAAAGCCATTCATTTGTGGTGATCATTGCTCAATTAAAGCGGTTATTATTTGATGATCTAAGCAAATAAATAGTAGATGTCAAAGATTCGAAACGCTTATGATTTGGGGTGCCTTAATGAATCATGGATATTTAATCGATTATTGTCTAGCCATTAATAGATGACTGACAACCTCTAATATTATACTTTATTTTTAGAAATTAGTTAAGAAAGAAAAAAATTAGTATGATAAAATGAGTAAGGATGATTATCATATTAGGATGTTTAGCTAGATGTAAGTCTCATAAATGAGAAATGCTTGGAGAAAGCTCTTGTGGTAATATGTTTGAAGTACTTACTATTTTGCTAGTATTCCTACTTGAGATTTCCAACTCCAACCACGACTACCTTTTGTTGACATTGTTCTTAACTTGAACTTGAAATGAAAAGATTGTTTTTTACTGGAATAGTAGTGAGTGGTTTGAGGGAGTATTTAAAGGTGAGATTTATCAAAAAAAAAAAAAAAAGGTGGAATATAAGCCATTGTGTTGTCACATCGATTATTGTTAACTAATGTGGAGGGCCAGGACAATCAATGCACTTGTGGAGCAATACAAAGCTATTTATTATGATTAAATCAGTTTAATGCATGATTATATATATTTTTTTCAATCATTATGACATAAAATAATATCGAATAATTTTGATTTTTTTCCATCAGGTGCAAACAAATAAAGGAGAAATCCAAAGCCATCGCATACTCTAATATTGTGTAGTCAGCTCGGTCACTATTGGCTGAAATGGCGGGTCAGGACAATCAATATACCTGGAAAGGTCTAAGTTCGTTTATTATAGTTAAACAAGATTAGTGCATAATTCGATCTTTGTTATGTCGCTACAAAATATTAATTTTGCTTACCATATTGAAATCGAGTTTGGTGCTTTTAAATATGCGAACAGTAGTATAATACAAGATCATTTAAGGATATTACAAATATTTATTTTAGTGGAGTGCTCAATTTGTTAGCATGAAATTTTCACTAGCTTGGATAGCTAGATGGAACATGGCTAGGATATTTTGATTTAGATTAACCAATTAGTAATTGAGTTCTAAGATTTTCAAATGATATTGAAATATCACAAGTTAAATACATATCTTACTTTATTGCAATAAGGCAAACATTATAATGTTACAACTATCTTGTAGTGTTGTAGCTATTGGTATCTATTGAGGTTGATTATGGGCTAATCACAAGGAAGTGTTATTAGGGTTGAAGGACTAGGTTTGTGGATGATTCTTCGATAACATGAAATAAATCATTTGAGGATGCTCATTACACGATGCGTGTGGCGCTGGAAGATGCATTGTCATGTTGCAATTGGGACTCCATGGTTCTTAAAGTGGAATGCATGCTGCAAAAGGGCATTGATGGGTCATGTTAAGGAGAGTTGTGCTTGATGGAATGTACATTGTGTGGGTTACAAAATGCGGGGGTTTTCTCAAGGAGGATGTGAGATCTGAAGCTAAGCGTCACAAGAGCCTGTACTAATAGTGGCAGTAAGCGCTAGATTAGGTGTGGATAAACTTGTGAAATTTAAGGGCAAGAACTGGTCATTGGTCCTGTGCTTACCACAATTGAGGAGGTTGTAAAATGAAATTTTGGTTGAATTGGGTTAAAATATGGGTTCACAGAGTTGTCTTGAATGACAATGTAGAGTAGCGATGCATTTCTCAGACTGGAACGGGTTTTCGGAGTGTGAAATAATTGAAGAGGATGGTGTCTTGACAATTAAGAATCAAAGAGAGAAACAATTGAGTTTTACTCAGTATTAAATTGATGGATTAAGACGAAACTTTGCGTACTTGGAGTGACCTTTGTGCACATCTTAGATGTGGAGAGTCATCTATTAACCTCATTAAATATTTTTCATTCATCATCTAGACTCTCCAATGACATTTCAATGTTTATTTATATGGGGCATTTACATACACAATACACAATTCTTATGGATTTACGCATCCTATAACTGAACTTCCATTTATACATGCATAGCAATTAATTTTTTAATATCACATCAAAAAAGCACTAATTACCGCTTTGTAATAGTCAAATCTACCTTTCATTGGTAAATAATTACCGCTTTGTAATAGTCAAATCTACCTTTCATACATTGGTAAAGTGCTATTGGTATAAATATGGAAGTTTTGGTGTGAGATACAGAAATCCTTGAGAATTGCACGCTACATCTGAATTTTTCTTATAGAAATAAAGGTTATGAGGAGAAGATCAAATTTAACTTCAAATGCAATCAAATGTAATCCTAACATATTATCAAAATCAAGCTTTATTTTGTCCAAATAGTATAAATAAAACTAGTATAATAAGCTAAAAAATAATAATACAAGAAGTACAAAATGAAATTCAGCTAAATATGGTAATGGGATTAAAAAAACTTGAAAATCGACAGCTTTGTTGTAATTGACCTAAGGGCACCTGGGATTTTATGAGCTGATTTGTCTATATTAGTGTGCTTTACTTGATCACTTTGTTATGTGCAGATGTGCCATTTATAATTTTTTTATTCATAATTATATCTGTAAAATAATACCTCCTTTTACATTTCAAATTATTACTACTATTGAATTGCAGCTCTGTGAGGCTCTGGGCTTTAACTGGAGAAGTTTTGATGGAGATGCTTGGCCATTCATCTCTGGTGTATTGCGTGGATGCACATTCATCTGGTCTTGTTGTAAGTGGGAGTGAAGACTGCTTTCTCAAGATATGGAAAGGTGGTTACTGTACTTTATATGAATTATTAAGTTTATCAAAGAAGTAAGTCGCCCTTCTAGGTAAATCATATCAGTAGCCAGATACCAATTATTCGGAGTTGGCTTATGAGTCCCCCCTAATTCAAATTGGTACCTTAAACAAGTTGCAAATAACTAATAAATTTAACCATTTCAAATTCATCGATGGAAATTACTTTTCTGTGGGAAAGTACATATGAAGACATAGTTTTATTCCTTTTTACTACTTAAGTAAAACGTGGACATTTTCCTGAGTATTACGCTGAAATTTTTTATATTTTTTTATTAAACACCATCCTACGTATGAAATGTGGTTGATTTTATGAGTAATACTGAAATATTTCTTGTTTATTTGGCTGAGATTCTCATTCCTCTTTTAGTCAGCACACTCAATGTTAAAATTTACAACAGTATTCCTATCTTTTATTGTGTTTCGACTTTTTCATGTTTTATTTTAGCTGCTTGAATGACTGGATGATCCTCATCCTTGAGGGAGTTGCTTTTGCATCCATCATGTAGTTGTACTTTTCCAACTTTTGATGATAACATTTACCTATGGTTTATTTTCCAAATTTAAGATGCAAATGTTTCAACTTATTTCTTATAGCTTACGCAATATGCAGTGCAGAAAATTGTCCAATTTTGAATGCAATTGTTGCCTATCATTCCTATGTCTTGAAACGAGACACCATGTTCAGATACATCCTATCAAGGGTTTATTTCAGCATTCATATATCTTCGACATAACATTATCTGTTGCAATCGTATATATAATTGAATCACAACTAAATGAAGGGGCAAGTAAGTTGTCAAATAAGTAGTTTTGTAAATTCTTTTTTTTTTTATACTTTTTTTGGTGTATGCCTTCAAAACACATGTATCCGTTCTATTATTTTGAATGCAAATTTGGTACCTTTTAGGGCTCCTAGAACGGATTTTGGAAGTGAATTTTGTGGGGAGGTAGTTGTGCAATGGAAAGGGGAAGATAATAGGTGAGGTTGACGACATTTGGAAGGAGACAAGCATTGTTTGACAACTATACCAGCTGAAAACAACAAGGTGGACTCCGAAACGATGAAGATACAAAGGTTAAGGAGGCTGCACCACCTATTTCTATGTAAGATACAAACACATCATTTGTAAAAGGAAATGATACAATACTTCTATGAGTATAAAACAGAGAACAACATTTCCCGAAACAATAACAATCATCAAAGGTCTCCTAAACCAGAAAATAGCTAAATATAAATTGTCCTCTTAAGTAAAAACATTTCTTATAAATAGAGAAATTGGAAGAGAATAAAAAAGGAAAGAAAAATAGAAGAAAATTTGCGGAAAATAGGAAATAATAAAAAAAGGGAGCTCTCGGGGTAGTGTTTTGGCAATTGCAGGATCCATGTCACATTCCAGTTGCCCTCTCTTTTGGGTTAAACATTATGCGGCATAGATAAATGACTCAGTCAGAGACAATTTCTCCGACCTTCATCCTGACATATATAATTAAGACCCAATGGATAATTAATTAGTCTAATTCAATCGCCATAAGCATTCATAATCTATTTCAAATCATAATTCATTCTCATTCACATATATTTAGAAGCATGCATGATAATATTACTAAAACATGTACAGGGCTACTAAAATTCAATATATAAAAATACGTACCCAAAATTTTGTACCACTTTCAAAACCATACAATCCAAAAGTTGAACATATACGAGTGAGCTACAATATCAGCAAAATAATCAAAATGCTAAAATAATATTTATAGATGCAAGAATGACATTATGCACTTGCAATCATAACTTATATGCATGTCAGCAATATATATCACAAATATGCTTTAATCATATTAAACATTTAAGGTAAAAGTCATGAAATGCAATAAATAGTAACAGCTGCACTATCGCGTATTTCAATCATTTATATGCAATCATAAGAATGTCCATAATGTTTTCATAATCAATAGCTGTAGTCTTAGGAATGTCACTTGTAATTGCATTGGCTTTAACCATATTCATTTCATTTTATGTCATTGGGTTGTCACCAACCCATCAGCTAAAATAACTATTGATAAATGTTGAGCCCCTCCAACATAACAAGTGTAAAAAAAATATCATTGTAGCAATAATTTCATCCCTTCTAAAATATCGGGAGTCGGGATTCCCATCATTCTTTGTCATTTGTACCTGCAGGTCATTCATATAATAGTCTACTTATTACAACACTTGTGACATTTCATTAGGCATATCCTATAGAAATCTTTCATCAAATGCAAATCATGTATCATATGCATATAGAACGGTATATGAAATATGAAATTCATGGATCGATAAACAAAGTCAACAGATCCATAAAAGTAATAAAATCTTAAATATCATTAGTGTCCTCTTAAGTTATTCAAAAGTATGCAGAAGTTTCTAAATAAATTCATATATCAATAAATCACATAAAAATATTATGGAAATATATTCTTTTTAATTTTGTGCATGATATTTCGCCTGAAATAATGGAATAGCCTTGTGATGAGCTTCCTCAAGTTCATCTCGAACTCCTCGCCTAGAGTAAACCAGTTGTAACATACTTTCCGTAGAATTTTCATGAAATTATTAACTAAATTCTTAATTTAATCCAAATACAAGTTACTTGCTATTTCTCACCTCGATCGGATTTTATCACATAAACTCTTCCCTTAAACATTTCTTCCATTCTCATTCTTCTTCTTACTTATTTTCTTTCCATCCTTCCTCTTCTTTATACTGTTTTCCGCTAACAGCCCTAATCAAACATTAAAATCAAATGCGCAGCTTTAGATCGCATTTCCTTTTCCCACAAAAAGTAAATAGGATCTCAGAAATGCTCCAATTTGGAGTAAATTGCATAAAAATATTGCAAGAAAGGAAAGAAATGTTTTAAATTGCATGGAAAGGAGAATCTACTTATAGATCTTCCTAGGACTTTTAACCGAGAGCTGTGGTTCCTCTTTCGCCATCTGCTTCGTTATGTTTGATCCCACTTCAATGTCGGTATCGTAGAACTCACAAGGCTCACAAAAATGAATTGCGGGAGGGGAAAAATGAGGAATACAAATGCTCTTAAGCTTGGTCTCATTAATTTCATCTAGCTGTTACATGTTGCAATAATTGGACTGGCTACATGTCGACACTTAAAAGAAGAAAGTTAAGTTTAGGGGTCGCCCGTAAGAAGCTGTCGATCACCGAAATCGAAATCCC